AACACTCCATAAACCAAATAGATTTGTCAGATATCCAACTAGTAATAGTATTAGTGGCTCACCCAGCAACAGCCCTCTCAAATCTCCTATAACATATAAAACATTACATCGAAAATCAGCTAGTACTGATGGCAGCGATCTGTCTAAAAAACGCATCTCTCCACCTACAAAGAAAATCCTTTTCAGAAATAAGAGGATGGTGGGGGATAATTTAGAAGCACACATATCAAACAGAATTGGGAATATTTATTCAAGTAAGGGAGAAAAAAACTCTTTTCTCAGCTCATCCTGCTCATCCTTAAACATATCACCAAAAGAAATGGCTGATGAGAAAAATAAAAAAATTAAAGATTACCACATGCAGTTAACTCAGGTTCCTAACTGCCGATCAGGGGGTTCTAATATAATTGGCAGTAAACGGAAAAAAGGAGATGGTCCAGAGAAAACTGCCATTTCTGTCTTTTCTGAGAAGGGGGAAACAGAGGCAGGAAATCCTTTAAAGCAATATAAAACCACCAGCACACTGACAGTTAGCATAGAGGAAGACAATGTAAAATACCACGAACTGATTTCAGTTTATTATGCCTTACCACCGAAACACTCAAACACTCTGTGCAATGTCTTTCTAGAAGATACCAAAAAGACAGATTCATCCTCATCCCCAGAAAAATCTCAGGCCGTTAAAAAGGAGTATGAAGCTCTTATTGGTATGACAACAGTCGCTTCTCCATCTAACTTAGAAAAAGGAGAAAAAGTTATTTCTCCTGACAAAATGCCTACTCCTCTTGATGTACAACAGGATTCAAAAAATGCAGACGATCCTGATAAAGATCTTCAAGTTCCAAATCCCACTCTGAGAACAGCAGGCACTTCTCCTGCACAATGTACAATGCATAATAGAGAAGAAATAATCGGACCAGGAGCAGAAGAGCCAGCCCTTGCATTTTCCAGTAGGCCAGCTGTGGATGGTTTTCCAGGTGACCCCAAACCCAACAGAATAGAGGCTGAAACAGTTAACACTGTTACCAGCGCATTGTCCAACCTGCGTATTGGCAAGCACTCTTCTCCATGGACAGAAGCACCAAAACTTGATAAAAACTTACATCTTAACTCACTGAATTCCAAAAGTGCCAAAACCTCTTTAGGGAATATTTCTGCAGTTTCTTCTGCAATAAATGTTCAAAAAGGGAGTCTCTGTGGTAGTCAGCCATCGGCTGAAACATCAGCAACCATTCCCCCTTCTGATTTAACTGACTTTATCCAGGATGGAAGATCCACTGCATATCCAGAAGACAGCACCCCAGTAAATGCCAGTAAAGAAAAAAACAGAAATGCTGCAGAGGTTAAAGAAAGGGCTCGTTATATATGCCGCATTATTTCTGAAAGGGGACATGGGTTTCAGCCGAGAAATGAAAGTGTCGGGAATGAAGCATCCGTTTCAAAGATCAAGATGCATTCAGATTTCCAGAATTCAACACTGCCAGGGGATGCAGCTTTTTCGGTTAATCCAGTTGTTCAACCAAAAGGGAATATGGTAGAATGTTCAAAACCTCAACAGCAGGAGATGCCTCCAAATCATCTGCTCCACAAAGTTTGCACAAATCCACAGAGGTCTGAAAGAATCTGTGTGGATAATCAGAACTTTAGCTCTAAAGATCAGTATTCAGGTCCTGCACAGGACCTGCCTGAGCATTCACTACCTGAAAATAAGCTTGTCTTAGATTGCATTAAAGATAAAGTTAGTGACATAGAAAAAAGAAAAAACAGGTCCTCAATTAAAAACAAACTGGCAGCCATGTACAAAACAAGTCGAAAGTTTTCTAGTAAGAAAAGCTCAAGTCCCAAGCCACACGTAAGTTGCATATTTTCACAGAATGATGAACTTTCATTAGATAACAGCAACCATTATCCCATGTTGATTTCACCTGATGATTCCCAGCAAACAGGGAATGAGAATCAGAATCAGGCTTCTCTACCTGGTGAATTTCATATTACAAGGCTGAGTAAGGTTGAAAATAAGAAACTGCAAACAAATGAAGACAGGAGGCCTTTTACAAACTTGTGCAACCAGAAAAGAGAACATTCTGGGCAAAGTGATAAAAATACAAAGACCACCCAAAATTCTACCATTTTATTTCCAAAATCAATTATGCCTGTGCTAAACAACAATTTACAGACAGGTAGTAAAGTTTTAGAAAATAACAACTATCCCATTTTCTCCAAATGCACAGTTATGGATTCTTACCCCACAAAAAGAAGTCACAGTAATGTTGGTGAGCCTTCATCTTTTCCACTTTTATCTGATAAACATTCATATATTAAAAATGATTCAAAGGCAAATATTTATCCACTGCAAAAATTGACCTCTCAGGCAGAATGTGAGGATTATCAAGATAATGAGCAGTCAGACATTTTTAAAAATGTAAACCAACCCTGTGTCAAGCCAGTTCTAAAGTTCAGCAAAACCCAGCGTGAACGACATTTTTCTGAATGTTCCTATACACAAAAATTCCATGATCATCTGACCCCTAAAAGTAGCTTGACACAACCTAGATGCAGACGGAAGTTCAAGTCCTATTCTGAACTGTTATCCTGTGATGAAAATGAGAACTGGGACACATACAACAAGAATAACAGGAACTTTGGTTCACGGCGTATCATGTACCCATCAATTGAATTTGGCATTTTTGGAAAAGAACAACAGCAGGCTTTCTTAGATAACATAAAGAGGTCACTCACAGAAGGACGGTTGTGGAATCCATGTCTTTTAAAGAACCACAGGTCTATTACAAATGAAGATAGGTACTCCTTAAGTGGGCTGGAGCTGTTGAAATCAAGAGCTGCAGAAGAACAGTTCCCAAATGAACCTCTTGATTTCCATGACGAAGCCTCTGCATATTCTTCAGATTCAGATTCTGACTCTGACACCACCACAGATGACGAATATTATCTGCATGAGTATGAGAAAGAATCAGAACTTTGAGGAGCTCAGTGATGTAGAAGGCAACTACCTACTTGCTGACTTGTTGGTTGGTAGCTTATAAAATAGTAGGGACTGAAAACTTGAGTAGATTTCTGTAAATGCACTAATCTGATCTCAGACACTAAATGGATATATTGTACTAAAGTAGTCTTCCACAGTTTTGGCATTTCTTAAATATGTGGACTCCCAGAATTCTAAGAAATATATGTACAAGTGGGGGGATTCTTGGAATTAAGGTCCACCTATTTGGAGAATGCCCAGGTTATAGAAGCTAAGACATAACGTATTTGGTTTTAGGCTAGGGTACTGTATGAACTCAGTCACTGTGGCTTATAAATTGTGGTGAACTGTTTTGTGTGTTGCTTAAATCCAACCATTTGTGGTTTATTCAATAAGCCATGGTTAAGTAAGCCATAACTTAGAGTTATGTGAACCTAGCCATTGTAGTGATCAGCTCAAAAATGTCAGAATTTGCTTCTAAAGGGTAAAATCACCATAAATTTAATAGCAGTGGAAAGAAAAATGGAATTGTCCAACTGGCACTCAAATGGGGCTGCCAGCTTTTGCGGGGCAGGGTCTCCTATACCATTCATACTATTCTTATAAGCAGAATGAACTTTGCCCCATAATCATAATCATAACACGGCTGCTTTCACCAGCAATTGAATGTTTGCACTCAACACATCCATGGCCCTTCTGTGTTTCAACAACCCTAAACTTTCTTCATCAGTAAGTTTTAGAAAAAAACAGAGAAGATTGAGAATATGTGTGTATTTAATATCTTATGTGCGCATATGCCCCTTTAACTGGAAAGTGTGTGTGTGTGTGTGTGTGTGTGCATGTATTAAAAACCCCATTAAGATGAAAGGAGCTACTTCAATGAGGTAGCTATCCCTACGTTTCAAATCACGCTGAAGCAATTGCAAGAGACTCATTCAAAACAGTGAAATTTTAAAATGCTGCATGTTCACTGATTTCTGCTTTAGTTTTTAAAATCAGCCTATTAACATGGTATGTAAAATAGGTTGTTTTAAAATGCTTAATACTTCGTTAAAGAAGTATATGTATGAATTGAATGTACAGTATGCTTTTGAATATTAGTTTGTTTAGTATGGCTGTTACACTTGAAATTATTAATAAACTATATATTTATATTTTGGTTCATGTAAATAAACTAAGATTCTAATTATAATTATCTGTTCATGTAAAAATACATTCTTTGAATGTGAATTCTTTTGAAAAAAAAGTTTGTGCAGAGGAAGCATATGGCCTAATTAATTTCTATAGCCTTTTGTACTGTAAAAAGACTTTGAAATAAGATTTGTAAAAGTTTATTGAAGCTCCTTTGTTGAAAATTGTTCTATGTGACAAGTTCAGAGTGCAGTCAGAAAGTCATGCCCAGGCATATGTTTACATGCATATAAAATTGTTCTTTAATATCCTCTTTCTGTGCTTTGCATTCATGATTTTCTTATTTTGTAAATATGTTCTTTGTTTTGAGATTAATGAGAGTCAGGCCGAATCTCCTTCTGGTGAAATTCTGTCCTATGTATCCAAGCCTTTCTACAGTATGCTACTTGTACAAACAAAACTGTAACTGTAATTCCAGTCAAGAGCAAAATTCCTGCCTTGCAACTTAAGCTCATTAATGCTGACAATTGTCTGGTATTTGCTAGCATGGGCAGGTTCAACTCCCGTTACAAAGTAATCCAGTGCAGACGCCGAAGGTCAATCTATGGCAACTGAACCACCCATTCCAAAGTCCAGCTAGACATGTGTTACCACTGAGGAGCAGAAGGGAACAGAAATACAGTAACTCCAGGACTGGTGTATTTTCTCCCTTATTTGGAGAATTTTTTATTTTTATTTTTATCCTGCCTTTTTTTTCATACGCAACTCAGGGTGGCAAACATGCCAATATTCCTTCCTCTTCCTACTTTCCCACAACAACAACCCTGTGAGGTGAGTTGGGTTGAGAGTGTGACTGGCCCAAAGTCACCCAGCTGGTTTTTCATGCCTAAGGCGGGACTAGATGTCTCAGTCTCCTGGTTTCTAGGCCAACACCTTAACCACTACACCAAACTGGCTTTTGGATCCAGTTTGGATCCAAGATAATTGAATCCAGATACCCAAAAATTGGATCCAGATAATTGAAAACCTGATTTGCCTCAGTTCCCCCTCTCTTTTCTATTGGAAAGGTTATAGAGACTTCCAAATCCATGTGAGGTAGTTTCTGCTTTTGTCTGCTGTTTCCTCAAGAAGATATGACTAGACTACTTCATCCATGGCCCCTAGAATTTCTGTACAGGGGCTGTGGGATGCAGCTAAACTTAACAGCCAATTTATGTATTAACTCTAGTAAGACTTTTGTGTGCTGGAGATCCTATGTGAGCAATTTATGCAGGTGAACAATGTGGCCCATATACCACAGTCCCACGTTTAAGGGTATCCCTGGTGAAATGGGTGGGGCAACCTTAAAAAATACATGAATTTCATGGGTTTTTCGAACAATTTTGGACCATAAGGCTGATTTGGTTGGTGGCATTTTCCAAACCAGCTCTCCATTGCTTCTTAGACAGGTTATTTCAGAATAAGTGGCTGGAACCACAAGTCCAAGGTAGGAAAAAGGGTCACTCTAGTATGAGCACTATAGAAGCCCCTTCTATGCTTTTATAAAATTTTGGTTGTAGCCTATAAAATAGGGGAGGAGGCAGCAGCCCTATATTGGATGTCTGACACTAATATTTCTTACACATTTAGTTATAAATAGTTTAGCAGTTTGTCCCCAGAAATGTCATGTTCTCCTGTCTTGTGTCCTAGACCAGGGTTCCTCAACCTTGGCAACTTGAAGATGTGTGGACTTCAACTCCCAGAATTCCCCAGACAGCATGTTGGAGTCCAGACATCTTCAAGTCGCCAAGGTTGAGGAACTCTGTCCTTGACTATCTGTGTTTTATGCCAGTCTTCCTTAGTCCTTGTGTCTTCAAACATGTTGGGACTACAACTCCCAGAATTCCTTGCTAACACATTGCAGTGCAAGCACATTTACATGTAACCAGGGAAAACGTTTTTATTTGAAATAAGCTATTAATATTGACTACCAATATTTTTAAATAAATGGAGTATATTTATGACAATGACAAAGTGGTCGTCTTGTTTGTGTTCTACTTTCATTCTGAATGCTTAATAAATGTTTGATTTTCAGGGTACACACACATGAATGGCATGTTTACAGTTGTGATGTCAAAAGTGGATTCAAGCATCCAGAGTTAATTATTTTGTCATAAGTTGTCCTCTTAATTTTATGCAATATTTTGAAAGAACATAAATGAAAAAGGTTATACATAAGAAAGAAAAGTATAAGATATTGTATGTAGGAAAACAGAAACATGCAGATAATTATACTTATAGAACTTTAAATGGAACATAACTTGGTTAACATAGTACAGAACACCACCAAATCTCTAAGCAGTAAACGATACGTTAGATCAATACTGAAAGTTATAAACCAAATTAAAGTATAATTTATAAATAAACCAAAATTTGGATGTGGCACAAAACCATATATAACATCATAATACAAGAATGGTTTCCAGAAACTTACACTCAGCATCAGATTTACTTTTTATGTAGAAAATTATTCCTGTCATCGAAGCATGCTCCCACAATTTAGCCATTCTTCCAAAGAAGAAATTGTAGAAAGCATATAAAATTGTTGCAGCTGTTAACATATACAAGATAATTCAGTGCATTTTGGAAATATATGGTTTAGAGAAATTGAATGAAAATATCTCAGTTTGTAATGCAATTACAACCTTCAAAATCTGTCCCGTTTTACTGTGAATTATTCTTCAGTATCATTGGGCTTTACAATGTTGCTGCCACATATGAAAAAAAGAATCCAGTCTGCTCATGACATTTCCAGAAAATTTATTTTAGCAATCAAGACTGGAATAATATACCAATGGTAGAACATCTAACATCAGTTCTAAGTATGATGATCAAAGTAAATTTAATATTTGTCGTCCATTGAAATTCCCACTGTTGCATCTTTATAACTCTGTTCAAGTTCTGCATCCATTTTATCATTGTCTTTTAACTGGTTCAGATTCTGAATCATAACTTCAGTACAATTTACAGACTGCACCTTAACTGATGTTCAGTATTAAATATTATAAGGTTTTCAAATTCAGTCAAGTCCTGTGAAGTTCCCCCTTGTTTCTATAGTTCTTTTGTTGCAGCACGACTTACTTGAAGATATTGGAACCAATCGAATGTTTGGTAAGAGATGCAAAAATGTTTATCTTTGTCCTATTGCGAATACAATCTTACAGTCTAAACAACTATTGTATTGTTATCTTTCTACTAAGCAGGTTTCATAATTTATTTATTTTCATGAAAACAAAATGTCTCATGTGAGTATAGGAAGTGGATTTATAGTCTTGAAGGCACATGGCGAAGCAAATTCATTGAAAGATCTTGGTTTTGTCAGTGCTTTGATGAGAGATCTGCAGAGCTCAGCCTCTTCCTCATGTACTGCCTTGGCTTCTAGTTGTGGTTAATTCAGGGTATGAATCTTTTTGTGGGAAAGAGATTGTATTTCCAAAACACAGCTCTATTTGCATGAGATGCTAATTAATTTTTAGAGGTGGGGCTGGAATGGATTGGAATGGAATATCCTTGGAAACATAGACACAATGAGCAAAGTCCATTTGAGTGCTGAAATGTCCCGTTCTGGGCGAATCCCGTTTTCACTGCCTCCATTGCTACAAAGTTGGACTTCAAATGGGCTTGCTTGATACCATTCACCACAAGTGTTGTCCATTTGCATGTCTGCTAACATCTTATTTGGAACCTGTCCAGACTGAAATAACAGATGTCATAACATAATTTTCCCTTTAACCTGGAGTCTTATCAGGAGCATCCTATCCAATAAAAACCTTCCATTTGAACATCAGACCCAGTTTGTGACTAGACGACTGGGCTTGCAATTAGCCATAGTCTGAATACAGTGTAATTGTTAACCTTGTTCAAATAATTAAGCTATAAACCATGATTTACAAGCCACAGTTTTACACAACACCTTAAGCCCGCCCACCCACTCAAATCACACTGGCCCTCGTGTGACTGTTTTCTTACGTCTATGATTTTCCTGCATTCTGTAGCCATGTTTACATTTTTGAAAGAAAACATGAGCATGGCATCTGAAATGCAATGTCATTTACCATAGCAGTAATCACACTTCCCTCATCTAACGCCCTTCGCGGAGATGTTGGAAATCCGTGGACTTCTGGAGGGCCCCACGTTGCAGAAGTCCGCTGCCTCCTGTCGACGATCCGCATTCCACGCGCACGGGGGCGGGAAGGGAAGTTGGCACCCTTTCTGATTGGCTATCCCGCCCTCCAATCGGCTTCGGGCATTGCACCCTGCCCCTCCAAAAAAAGAAAAAAAAAGTTTGCAGGAATGTTGTAATTTAAGAACAAGGAGCGGCCGAGATTTACCTTTTCTTTTAAAGCTTGCTGCAAAAAGAGCGAAGCAACGGAAAGAGGTTGGCTGCAGCGAGCAATGGCAATAACGCTGCTGGGGCGTTCATTCTGCGGCCGGGCTTTTGGGAAGGGGCGGCGGACGCTGCCGCAGAGCCTCAGGCCACGGTCAGCCCGGGAAAGAGCCTGGTTTGGGGTCCCGGCCTCGTGGCCGAGCTCACCCTGCCCGTCCGTTATTTCTACATCCAGGCAGCCAGCACCGACGGACGCAACTTCATCCGTTCCCCGCCAGATACTGCGTACACGTGTATGAATGGCTGCTGTGCGGATCTTTGCAGCTCGAAGAGCTCCCGAAGAAGGGGAGTGTTGCAGACCGTAACCCGAGGACGTGCCCCTTGGGCCCGGGCGTGCAACGGGCTTGGTTAGCATGCCCTGGAACCCTTCAAACGTGCTTCTTTCACAGATTTGCCTTTTGCCTTCTAAGCCAGGGTTTCTCAACCTTGGCAACTTTCAGACGTGTGGACTTCAACTCCCAGAATTCCCCAGCCAGCATGTTAGGTGGGAATTATGGCCCACGCTGGGATGCCTGTGAATCACCGTGATTCCTCCTTGATTTCCCCTCTCCAGTAAGATCATCTTGGCTTGACTATGACTCTGTAATAAAGACGGACGTTTAAATTACAGCTGCTTGTTCCATACAGTGCACCGTCCCCAGTTAAAAGGGGTTGGGGCAGCATTTCCTACCAACTGGAAAAGGGGGACGGCATTTCTGTTGTAAGAGTTTGAAGTGCAGAAACAATTATGCTCCTCCTGCCTTTCTCGAAGTCTGTGGCATCATAGAGCAGGGGGGGACTTGAACTCCGGGCCTGCAGTGTCTGGTCAGGTGTTTTTCCATGGGTGTTCTGAGAGGATCCAGCCCCACAGGATGCCAGAACGACCCCCCCCCCCCACCACCCG